ATGCAGGAAGAGCCTACGAGTTCATTTGTAACAATATGAAAGAAGAACCTTGCGTGCCCGATCATGATATAGGTACAGCTTCCAGCCAGAAAGGTGATTGTGCTAGAAAGATGGCAGTGAAGATCATGGATAAAGAGCTAGTCAAGCAGCATCCTGATGATATCCACGTACCAACTACTGGCACTGCTAGTGCTTTTGTGGATTAACCTACTTCCCAGGGCCGGCGGTCAGAGAAGAAAAGATCTCTATGAAAGCAGGAGACGGGAAATAGGCTCGCTCGATTCGATGGTTTAGAGTCCCGTATCATATGGCATGCTTTCCTTAGAATCCATAGACAAAGGGCGTACGGTACCCTACGAAATCGGCAGATGATTGCTTTGATTGGCCTGCTGTATCAGTTTATTCGACTACTTCCTCCATACCGTAGCGGACTTCCTTCCTAGATAGATGTAGGAGCAGCGGAAAGGGCTGCTTTAGAAGCTTCAATAGTTCCCTCATCAACGGATGGTTTAGCCGCCAGGTGATAGGGATGTCAAATAGAAGGCAAGCAGGCGTAGAAGGCCACGTTCGATAGCTGAAAAGTCAAGCTGCGGTAGAGGGTGTAAACTAAATAGTTACAGCTGGGCTTGGCAATTATCTAGCCGAAGTGGAAGGTTAAACGGGATCAAATCCTGGTCATTCTATAGTTGCAGGATCGGTAAATGAAGCCGGAAAGAGTATCTAGAGATAAAAGTCCAGGCGTCGAAGCCAATTAAACACTTGGACAAGATAGTGAAGGGTCTGGGGAGAAGTCAATTCTAGAGTTCATTACTCGGATGGGGACTACAGTAAAGAAATCTATTCTAGAGGGCTAAATGTCAACAAACTTTAGCGAGAGTACCAAGATCGGACTCAACTTCCTATTCCAAAGGCAACTTTACTAGCGTGGTTATGAATCAACTTACAATTCTTGAGTTACAGGAGGAACTGTTAATGAAAGACAACTATAGTAGTAATAGCTGTGAATTCCACTTCTGAGTTAGAGTTCAATCCTTTCCATCTGAAAGTACGTACTTCTTATAGCTTGAGAAGAGGAAGGATGCATTCGTCAGCATAGGAAGGCCCAATCAAATACCCCATCATAGTATAAGTTTTCCCTCTTGATTGACTTGAACAAAAGGAAAGAAAGAAAGATGCACAAACGAAACAGGAAACTACGAAGGTCTCAGGAGCAATATCAACTACCTAGACCGACCTGCTATAAGAATTCCATAAAGACCTTGCGAAGATACTGTACTGAATGACTGGATCGTACTAGATAGATAGTCTCAGATAGACTTGAATACGCAATTCCTGCCAATCTCGCACTTGACACGCAATAAACAGCAGTCTATCTTCACAGAGAAGGATGGCAAGGGGTGAAAGGCTTAGACCTTATCTGCTCTAGGCTAGTTTCATTCTATTCTTGTTCAGCATATTTAGTTTCAAAAGAGAGAGGTCCGGAGGCATTAATTAGTTGATGAGGAGAAAGGCCAGCCACGAAACACTCACCCAATCAACCTTCAAAGGCAAGTAAGGACTCTCTCAAACTGAAAATTGCTGTTCACATTGCAAGATCTGTCTCAAGATGTTTTGAAAATGAGAAACAGCAGCAGAATAAATAGTATACTTTATCGAGAAAAGGGAGGAAGTATCTTCTTTCTCTGACGTAGACGGGCATTCCTATCGAGATTACTTCCTTAGGACCGGGAGGTCGAAGAATCTATATGCTACCTTACTTTCAGGATGGCTTTACGAAAGATTCCATTTAGCTGAAGTAGGACGAAGCGGTATGAGATAAGAGGTCTCAACGAGCCTTCAGCATCTGAAACGGGAGCTTTAACCTGCATATCATACGGGAGTCTTAGTGGAGAGCGTTCTCTGGTTATCATCCCTAGTAAAATTTGAAGTGACGGAGGAACCCCTATTCGATAAAGAAGGGAACGGTGCAAATAAAGCTATTTCGAGTCCTCTATCAACAACCAACCAAACCACCCGCTTGTCGGGCTTAAAGCGAAACTGAGCTTCTCACTAACAAAATCAATCGTAAGCTTCATGTCCGAGACTCGGAAAGAGTGGCGTTAAAGAGGGCGTCAGAGCCTCTCGAAGTCTCCGATCTCACAGATGGTTAGGCTGCAATTCCTTCGCTTGTGAAGAAGCTTGGATAGTTCTCCTTACTCGGACATTCTATTCATTCGACCACCGCCCATGCTTAAAGATTGAAGTTTTGTTTTGACTCTGTAAAAAAAAAGAACGTTGTAACGTCGGTTAACGCAGCCTCACAGGCAGCCTGAGAAGTTTTTGACCCCTTTACCTATCTTGGGTGAGCTACATCCATACATAGTCTAAGCCTCTGATTGACAGTACTAGATACGGAATCTTAGTCCCAAGAGTTCTGCAGAAGCGGGCTAAAGGCAATAGTTCGCTAGGGTGGTTATCCCAATTCTTTGATAAGATCGCTACCGAACGCCCCCAAAAGCCTAGTCTTTAGAAGGAACGAACGGATTTCTTTGTTTGTTCGTGCAATGAAGAATCTTATCTGAAGAAGGTAATACGGAAAGAAAAAAACTCAACCTGATGCTACTGGAATAGAGAAGCAAGCAAAGTGGGTCGGGCTGGCCTGGGACTCAATTGAAAAAAGCGGTATTTCTTCCGCGAAGACTAACTAACGGGGCGCACTCAATTTCTACCTTCCCCGAGCTTACCACCACCCGTGGTACAATAGAATGAAAACAGAGTAATGACCAAGGGAATTTTCTATTAACCAACGGGAGATCCTCCTTTTCTCGCTAATCTAGGTCTCAGGGTTCCCCAGCACAGACTTCTTGTTAGTTTAAACTAGTAAAATGGGAGTGAAGCTATGCTGTTAAACAAGACAAACCAATCGCAGATGTACTATCATGCGAGGAAGGCCCCCCATTATTGTTGAAAAAGGACTATTCCCAACACGTCTTTCGTCTAATCGGGAGAAAAAAGGAAAAAGGCGTTATTGCTGTGCTTCCCTTCCCTTTACAGGCAAGCTTGAACTTCCCTTCGGGGAAAGGGAAAGACCTTTCAAACTCTTTCCGTATAGGCCAGAAAACAGCTTGCTTAGAGAAAGACTGACTCTCCTACGGACCTGGTGGACCTTACAGTCGAGTTATTGCATCCCTCTCACAAACTATCAATTTCATAAGAGAAGAAAGATCGTTTTTAGAAAAGAAAGAACGTTTTGATTCGAGGCGGATCCCTTTTTTCTTTGCCTTTACGAGTTGAAAAGAAAGTGGTAACAGGTAGTAGCTCTGGTAGAGTGCAGGACTGTAAATCCTTCTGTGAGCGGTTCGAATCCGCAATCACTTATAGTTAGTTTCATCGATATTTTTTTGGTGTTTGATGAGCCTGCGTAGTATTAGGTAGTTGGTTAGGTAAAGGTTTCGTAGCGTTGTTTCCTCGAGTGTTCCCCTTGTTGCTGTTGCTTCATTTAGAAAGATTGAAAGAGAATCAGAATTCCATTCCAGTGAAATGTGAAATGACATAAGAGAAGAAAATCGGATGTCAATCGGTCACCTCATTGCGGAATTGGCATCGAGAAGCCATGGCCCAATAGTGCCTCGCAATCATGATCAAGTGCCTTGTGTACGATCCGCGTTGGCCGGTAAACCGGAAGTGTAAGATCTATTCCAAGAGGTTCTTTCTGACATCCAAGGTGGATAATAATATCTTGCGGTCAGTCTATGTATATCTTCCTTTCGCTCGCTAACAACAGAGGAACCACACTCTGAATAGCAACTCCACCTCTGACTCTTAGTTATTCGATAGATCCAGCCCCCTATGCGGCACCTGCCTTTACCTTATAGCCTGGGTGAGCACCTGTTCTTGCATATGAGCGCTCGCTAGCATTCCTCTGTGCTATAGTTTTCGATATTGTACGATACTTTATCGAGATCCGTAGGCGAAAGCTAGTCTCCTAAACGAAGCTTTGGGAACTCTAGGATTCCTTGCTTCAGTCTGCTAGGCTGGATTACAGGCTATTGAAGTGGTACTCAAGAGCGAGATAGATATTTGTTCTCATTCATTCTACTTCGACCACCCTACAGTAGCTACTTGGAGATTCCCCGTAAAATAGATTTCCTGCCTTTTCTCTGCTTGAACTATGGCCATAGAAAGGAACTGAAGTGGATGGACCCTATCTTCGGTTATAGATCGATCTTCTCTCTTCTGTCCTATCTTATATGTCCTATCTTGTATAACCCGACAGGAACAACCTGACTGATTTCAGTACAGAAACTACCGGAGTCACATCTAGCTATCAAAGAAGAAGCTTACAGGCCTTATCCCAATTAAAGGAAGGGAAGGAAGGCAATCTTAGTCCTAAAAGAACGTCAGCTTGCATACCTTTTCCTTCCTTATCCATCTTTACCTAAAGGACGATAGGAAGATAGAAGAGATGTTCGCATTAACGTCTCGTCCGGGTCAAACTACAGGTATGAGTTCCATCTTACTTGGCCCTAGCTTACTACTCCTACTGGGATACTCGCAAAGGAAGGCATAGCTAATAGCAGCTCAGTTCATATTGGCCTGGCCTTATTCAACTACCAGCACTGGAATGGAAGGCTAAAATAGAAGAGGATAGAGGAACGAAGATAAGAACCGTATCGGACGTTACATCTATCTATAGTCCTCTCGTCCGGTAGTATAGTATGATAAAAAAAATATAACTACAACTACTGGGAGAGGAACTCAAAAAAAGCAACTAGAGGCTGAAACCTATAGACGGAGTTAACGAGCTAACCTAACTTCTAGTCTTCCCTAGGTAGTTTGTAGTGGGCATTCCTATCTGACCGAGTTGCTAGTAGGAAGCTAGGCTATTGAACTAACAGAAGATACGATGATATGCGACGATCTTCTTCTTTCTTTTTATCTAACATCGTCCGGTAGTTCCCTTTAGTCTGTTTCTAAGAAGCTAGGACAGCTAAGAATGAGCTCTTTCAAGCCCCGTTTCTAGAAGAGAAAGCCAGAAGGTAATAGCTGATTGGCAGTATGTCAGAAGCCGATGCTGTATTGCTGCCTGCTCGAATCAACATCCCTCTACGAGTTACCTCATTCCTGTGGTTGTTCTCTTCTGCTCTGAGAGACCGGTCAGTCTCTGCTCGGTTAACAGGTATGGGAGAGACTCCTGGTAAGGTCCCGTCTTGACATCTCACACTTGTTGGTTCGTTAGGAAGGGAAGGCAAGCTCTCTAAGCAAGCTGTTTTCATGCCTATACTCGCTTTCTTTGTTTGACAGGTTGGGCCCAATTCAAAGAGATCAAGCTTACACTGCACGGATTTGACCTTATTAAGAAAGTTTCCGGGAAGGGGTAGAAGATGCTAGATGTTTCCCTAGGGTCTTGACTAGTTCCTACTTCCTTGCTTCCAGTGTAGAAGGTGTAGCTGGCATACTGGAGTCAATATCTTAGTTCAGTTGTTGCCTCCGGTTGTCATACTGGAATGAGTCAATATCTTAGTATCGTCTGTAATGTGGAAGAAGTAGCTAGATGTCTTCCCTGTGGTTCTCTGCTAGTGGATACTTCTCTCTAGCGGTGTATCGGGTGTTGGCACTTCGGTTGTTGCCAGTCCTGTCATTTCCTAGAATATGTGTTAGTATAGGCTGGAATATGTAAGTATTGTCTAGAAGTTCCCTGTTGGTCCCTTACTAGTCTGCTCTTCTTTGTTCCAGTGAGTTCTGTCATGAAGTGTAGCTCATGTTAGGATTACCCGGGAAGCGAGCTTGTCGACGACGACGGGTAAGCCGTGTGAGCGGTTAAGGGTTGCTTGTTGCTCAGCTGTCTTTAGTCAATATCTTATGAATGTTCCGGTCCAGGGAATAATGTGAATGTAGCTAGAGTGTTCCTAAGGTGCATACTAGGGCTTCTTCCTCTAGTTACCGTTGTAGCTGAACCAGCACTTGCAGCTGTATATTCCGGGCGAGGAGCGTAAGCGACATGGCATATTTGTGAAAGAATCTCCCTTCTTTTCGTTCGGACTAGCCATGAATAACCAGTTGGTTGCTTCCAGTGGAGGAACCCCTGTTCATGCATGGCGGGGCCCGGGATCCCTTGCTGCTGCGGTAAAAGAGTCTTCCTTCTTCTGGGCGGAATGTGTATGAGTAGGCGTGAAGTAGGCGAAGCAGTCCTCCCGTTGATACGTGGGATAGGAGAAGGGGTCTACCACTTTATATCACTAAGTTCCCCCTCTCCGTCTTGCAGGTATTGTTTCTGGGTTGTGTCTGCTTCCCGCTGTGCAGCTTCCACTTCCTTTCTTTGTTCTCTGGGAATAAGTAGCATGAAGAGTTCATCTGTTGTCCGTAGGTCCCTGGCTGAGTTATCATGTGTAGCTAAGTACGATCTGCGTTCTGCTGTCAGTTAAGAATCTCCTCCTCTCTTTGTTCGGATGGGAACTATTGTATCTGTTGTTAACCCTTGTATCTGGCTACGCCGCCCTTAGAAGCAGAGTAGCCAGTCCAGTAGGTGTAGTTAGTTATCTGTTCAAGTAGGTAGGAGGAACCCAGCTTCTCCTATCTCATAGGAGGAACCCGTAGAATCAATATCTTTTCTTTCTTTCCACAGAAGGTCAGCGGTCATACTCTTCGTACTGTTGTTAGCTGTTCCTGTTCCAGACGAAGTAAGGTAGCCGGCTCAGTCTCTTACTCGGAGAGGAACGCCTACTACTCGACTAATAGGAGAGGAACGCCTACTACTCGACTAATAGGAGAGGAACGCCTACTACTCGACTAATAGGAGAGGAACGCCTTTGACTTCTTTCTCTTTCGAAAAAAAGGAATGTAGTTAGCCTAATCACTGGGATGATGATTGGATCAGTTTAGCTACTCTGTTAAGGTCTACATCAGGAGGTTCAACTAAGCCCGCAGGTATATTTGGCAGGCACCTGAAGCGAGTTGACTCTAGCTAGGAAGTTCTTCTCTGGCCTGTCACCTGAGTTAGAGGCTAGGCTCCGAAGCCTTCAGTTCTTTAGTCTCCCTGAGAGTTGTTAGAGAAGGCAGCATTGGTCGAGAGAGTGTGAGCGAAGCGTAGTAGCGCTGCTATACCGAGAAAAGTAATCAAACCTAAATCTAGGAAATACAGCTGGGTGTGCTCATGTTGGCTAGGTAGCAGGGCCAGACAATCCCTTTACTTTCGTGTGTGCGTACTATTAAGAGTTACGTGTGTGCGTACTATTAAGAGTTAGGAGTATACCAGCACAGAGAGAGGAGTGTGCTTCAGGTAGAGCACAGAGGAGGATAACAGTTAGGAGAGTTAGGAAGGAGTAACCCAGCACTGTGCTAGAGAAAGCAAAGCAGAGGAGTACCGAGAAAAAGCAGCAGTGTGCTGTACAGAGAACAGAGGAAAGGAAAAGAGCACGCAGGAGTGTACTAAAAAGCTGGGCATGTTGGGTAGCAGGTATTTCATTCCCCTTGAGCACACCGATCGAAACCTGTGTACTCTCGAAAGTTGAGCCCTTGAAAACCAGGACTTGAAACTAGCAGATTAGCCGGTAGGCCCTAGTAAAACGGGTATCGAGAAAGGGCCTTTAATCGCTCGCTACAAAAGTTTTCAGGTGTTCCTAACCTTGAACAGAAAGGGTAAGCCTACTTTGACAACTTTGAGGGGATTACTCCCACCCTGCTTGACCTAAGTCAATTAGCCAACCTTGGAGATTAGAGCACACCGGTGTGCTTGTGCTGCATCGTGAACTTACTTCTACATTCCTCAGATTACCCAGGAGTGTGCTGGAATGAGAAAGTGAAGTATTCCTTGGGCGAGAAATAGTCAACTCTTGCTTTGCTTGGGTAGGGCTTTGCAACACACCGATATCCCTTTCTTTCTAGGGTGTATGGTTCCTAGACCTGTACACGTGTAATTAGAAGGCCAACTTTTCCTTGACGAATCTATGCTCTGTAATGGTCTGACCTGAGGAATTGTGCTATCGATGGATGAAAGGCCCTAGTTTTTGCTAACACGGATGTGCTGAACAGAAGGCCCTAGTTTGTTCCTAACACTGGTGTGCTGAACTCAAGACCCTTTGTTTGTTGCTAAAGAGGCTTAGCTTTATTCCGGTGAAGCTGGTTGGCAATAACATGACTAGCAGTCAGGGCCGAAGGCGCCTTACCTGAATTCCCATGTTTAGATTGGATGAATGGCTGATTGATCGGTAATTCGGGGGTAATGTAAGTAATATGAAAATGAATTGAGTGGTTTTCCTTTGATTGATCTTCTGCTTTGACATTTCTCCTCGACATTTCTCCTGGGATTTGATTGATGGATCCATCGAGGTATGTAATGAATTGAGTTGATTGGCTTTTCAGCACACTCCGACCCTTCCATTGACCAGGAGCAGTACAGGTAATCCGAGGAATGCCTCATCCTATGATAGGTCCTTGGTTGGTTGACTAGCTACTCCTCTGCTTGAAGTCAGCACACTCCTTTTATTTTTCTGAGACCAGCTCCTTGTTTTCGTAACTGAGGAGTTCTGGTGAGCTAATCTTCTAGATTGGATGACAGTTCCTAGGGCTCACCTGAAGTTGGTTGACTAGAGGAATCCACAATCCTACACGGGGTGTGCTACAATTTCCTTGTTCTTCCTGGGTCTGTGCTAGAATGTAGGACTAATACTAATAGGTGTGTGCTGTTGATCACCCGCGTACTTTCTTTGTTCCTAAGGTTCATTCGATACTAGCTACTCCTCTGTGCTGTCCGATGCTTTGCTTGAAGTCAGCACACTCTTCTGCTTTTTCAGCACACTCCTGCTTCTTGTGATCTGAACTTTGTTACTAGCTTCTGATCGAACATGGATTGGCATTACTAGTCCAAAGCAGTGTGCTAGGAAGCGGGTCATACCTCCCACCCAATATGCCCATCTTTTCTTGTTTAACCTCTACATTCCCAGGATTAATCCCTGAAAGTGTGTGAAATCCTACTACCCTTTCTGTTTCATGGGTATTACCCACCTGAAAGTTTCCTATCTCTCGATTGGCAGTAGCCACTTTTGAGGGTTTTCTAGACCCCACCTAAATCCGCTAGTTTGCTACTCTCCTGTTTGGGATGAGATAGTCTTAGACCTAGTGATCTGGCCCCCCCCCGAACAGTAGACTTCCTTTTGTTTTTCCTCGGTATTCCAGGGTAAGGAAATTACCCACGGGTGCCTTGTTAATCACACTCTTCATTCCGATGCTTTGATCTGAAGATTCTTAGTCAGAGCAGGAAAACCAGTAGTCCCGTTGTTGGTAAAGCAACTAACTTCAGATGGTCTGCAAGCCTTCTCTGTGCTATATATCCTTCGTTTTAGCATCCCTTTAGCGCACCGCAGCTCTTGGAAAGTACTATTGAATTTAGAGTTCTTTCAGATTAAGTAGTGGTCGGAGCTCAACCTCAGCCTTTCGCTACTTCTACAGCAAAACCAGTAACTGAGTCGACTATAGTAGCATTTGATGCGTCATCTTCCCTCACTCTTGACGATACAGTAGTTGTGGCATCTCCCTTTCTGAGTCTGATTCCGATGCTATCCAGTTGATGGGGAATTGACGGCCCTTTCATTGACAGTAGTTCATTCGAAGGGGGAATGCTTGTAGTTAGAAGAAGAGCTGATGCAACTCTCTTAGAGACTGACCTAGGAACCTCATTGACTGATGTCAAGGTTTCTGCCTCAGCAACAGCTACTAGAAAGAACAGCAACTTTGTTTTACTGATCAACAGATGGTACAGGTGTTGGAAGAACTAGAGCGTTATGATGCTATTGAATTCACTTCCGACCGCCTTCAACTAGTAGAGAAAGTCTTTCGTTTAGAGCCGATACCGCTCAACCCTCCTTTTCACCTTCCCTTCAGCAGCACACCACTGCCCCCTTTAAAGGCTCAGTCGAGTGACTTCGTTCCCCCCGTTCAAGCATGCGATTTGTTTGCTAGGTTAGACGGTAAAGTGTGGTGGAAGGAAGGGTCTAGGGAGTTCCAGATGTGCAGCACACCCCTAGCGAAGCAAGCCCTCGTCCTATCACCGTTCTTGGGGGCCCAAGACGGGAGAAGGTAGTCGCCTGTAAGGAGAACGAATTTGTCCAATCCACCGAATACTGTCCTTTCCTTCTTTTACCAATTTCTCGTCGAGTTGCTGATACGTTTGTTGAACAGCAACAGCCTACATAGCCCGTCTCCCTCTTTTCAAGGAAGAAAGCATCAGACAAATATGTAGTTCTAGGTCCTTTTGTCCAGTTCCTGAAAGCACCATCGTGGTTTATTCACTCAGGTTTGCTAAGTAGTCTGGGAGCCGACTCTCATTTTATTTGGGCTCAATCGACATCGAAAAGTGGCAA